AGTGTCAATGGTGGAGTCACAGAGGGTGATGTTGGTAGCTGGGACTGCGCTCTTTCTGAAGTCCAAAACCAACTCCACTGTTTTTAGAGCGTTGAACTCAAGGTTGTTCTTCCTGCACCAGGTCACCAGATGGTCAGCCTCCCACCTGTAGGCGGACTCGTCACCATCGGAGATCAGTCCGATGAGAGTGGTGTCGTCCGCGAACTTCAGGAGCTTGACAGACTGATGACTGGAGGTGCAGCTGTTGGTGTACAGGCGGCCTCATCAAGGAAACACACAGCCAAGTAGACAAGGTCCGAGCCAGCTCCCTTGTCAGAGGATGAAAATGAGCACATACAGCTAGGCACAGTAAAAGAAAAACAAGACCAAATTGAGAAATAGACCAAGCTCCAATATTTATAAACAAAATGTGTTGGGTGCAGCAGCACAACTCATCTTTCACATCCATACCGGAACAGACCAGAAGAAACCACAACGATTTCTTCTGGTTGATTCTTCTGGACGATTTCCCATTCTACTTTTAGAAATTCTAGGAACCACTAATAAACCTGCAGATTGAGAGAGAAGTGCTCTGTTAGGATGATAAGGAACAATCATATCTCTGATATAAGATGCAGCTTGGCTATTTAAGGCTTTATATGTGAGAAGGAGAATTTTAAATTACATTCTAGATTTAACGGGCAGATAAACGAGGATAGAAGAAATATGATCTCTCTTTATGATTTTAAATAGAATACTGGCTGCAGGATTAATGTGTGTGGACTTTTTGATAGTACAGAATTACAATAGTCCAGCCTTGAAGTAACAAATGCATGGTCTAGTTTCTCAGCATCACCCATGGACAGGATTTTTCTAATATTTGCATTATTCCAGAGGTGAAAGCAGGAAATTGTAGAAATCTCTTTGATAAGGGATTTAAATGACGGGTTCTGATCAAAAATAACACCAAGATTTTTTACTTTAATATCTTAGATCAATTTAAAACCCTCCAAATGAAGTGATTCATCTTCTTTTGCACAGACCCTGACCAAAAACAACAACTTCTGTTTTGTCTACATGAAGAATTAAAAAGTTAAAAGTCATCCAGGTTTTTACGTCTTCAAGACATACCTGTAGTCTATGTTATGGCTTAATTTCATCTGTTTTTATAGTAAGATGAGTATCATCAGCATCAGTATCATCATGAGTATCAGTGCAAAGTAATCCCATACTGTCTAATCATTCAACCTATTGGGAGCATATATATATATATAGTAAAGGGAATTTGTCCAAGCACTGATCCCTGTGGTACTCCATAGGTAGCCCTGGAAAATGAAGAAAAGTTATCATCAATTGGAATAAACTGCAATCTGTCAGATGAATAAGATAAAAACCACCCTTGTGCAGTTCCTTCAATTCCTACAAAATATTGAAGTCTTTCTAAAAGAATAATATGTATTAAATGCATAACTGTATTAAATGCAGCACTGAGATTTAACCGGACAAGTACAGATACAAGTCCATTATCTGAGGCCGTTAGAATATCATTAGTGACTCAAAGCTGTTTCTGTGCTATGATGAGCTCTAAACCAGGTTAAAACTCAATTACATTATAGAGTAATTGGTTACAAACTGTCCTGGTAGTGGCGCAATAGACCAACTCCATACCCTTTATTTGGTGCTTGAGGTTCCGTGGGTGTTCCCTCAACCAGTCCACATGTGTTTTGTGGATCTGGAGAAGGCTTATGACCGTGTCCCTCGTGGTGTCTTGTGGGGGGTGCTCCAGAAGTATGGGTTCTGGGGCCCTCTGTTAAGAGCTTTACGCTCTCTGTATGACCACAGCAGGAGCTTGGATCGCATTGCCGGCAGTAAGTCTGAGCTGTTCCCGGTGCATGTTGGTCTCTGCCAGGGCTGCCCTTTGTCACTTGTAATGTTCATTACATTTATGGACAGAATTTCTAGGCGCAACCGGAGGCTGTCCGGTTTGGGAACCTCAGGATATCGTCGTCTGCGGGTTGTAGATGATGTTGTCATTTTGGCCTCATCAAACCAGGACTTCCAACGTGCACTGGGGCGGTTTGCAGCTGAGTGTGATAAAGCTGGGATGAGGATCAGAACCTCCTAATTTGAGGCCATGGTTCTCCACTGGAGAAAGGTGGACTCCCCTCTTCAGGTTGGTTGAGAGTCAATGTCTCAAATGGAAGAGTTCAAGTATCTTGGGGTCTTGTTGATGAGTGAGAGACGGATAGAGCGTGAGATCAATAGACAGATCGGTGCAGCGTTGGCAGTGATGCAGCCACTGTATCGGAATGTCATGGTAAAGAGGGAGCTGAGTCGTGGGACAAAGCTCTCGATTTACAGATCTTTGTTCCCACCCTCAACTATGGTCATGAGATCTGGGTAATGACCGAAAGGACAAGATCGCAAATACAAATGGCTGAAATTAGTGTCCTTCGCAGGGTGGCTGGGCGCACCCTTAGAGATCGGGTGAGGAGCTCAGTTACCCGGAAGGAGCTTTGAGTAGAGTCGTTGCCATGTCGAAAGGAGCCAGCTGAGGGGGCTCGGCTATCTAATTTGGATGCCTCCTGGTCGCCTCCCTCGGGAGTGCAGCCTCGAAAATAGTTAAAAATAATATAAAGAGTAATATAATCAGGGATAGTTAAATCATATCAAAAATGATAAAAAAAAAAAAAATTATAAGGTGGAAATCAGAGGGAATACTTACTTAAATAACTTGGTTTGAACTGGATCTAACATAAAAAGGTGAAGGCTTAGATGCAAATAATAGTTTTGCTATTTCTGAAAGCTCAACTCAAAACAGTGTAAACCCAGTTCAGATTCTTTAGTTACCTCAGATTCTGCCTCACCTTTCAGAGATAAACCAATCATATTTAGAGGGGTGTAATGATCTTATTTTAAATAGAATCAATCTTATATATAAAGAATCCCATAAATTCATTACTGTTAAGAGCAGGGGGGATGGACGGGTCCACAGAGCTATGGCTATGAGTGAGTTTAGCAACTGTATTAAAAAGAAATGTAGGATTATTCTTATTAATGAGGAGAAATATGCTGCTCTTGTTTAAGAAGGGTCATCCTATGCAGCAGTAAACTGTCTTTCCAGACTAGGTAAAAATCCCCATTGTCATGTAGAGCGCCATTTTCCCTCCAGTTTCCTAGCAATCAGCGCAGCTCTGCATTAAACCAGGTAGCCAGCTTTCTATTTTAAATTTCTTTTTTTTAAGGGGGCTACATTTTCTAAGGAAGTATACTGGGAACTAGTAACCGCATCAGTGAAATAATATTTTTTTTAAGGGGAATGAATTAAATAGTTGCCCTCTGCAGAATTGTTCAGTGATACAGAAAAGATAGAAAGTGGAACAGATGCTACAAAATTTATGACTGCATTATTTGATGATGGTCTGCTAAACTGCAACCTTATTTTATGGGAGAAGAACGCTGTTAAATTAATTTTGAAGGTTAATAGAAACTGGTCAGAGAGAACAGCTTGTGTGGAAATACTGTTATTTCTTTATATACAATGTCATATATCACCAAAAGAGTATGAAGATGAGAATGTGTGGGACTATTCACATTTTGAACAAAGCCAATTGAGTCTAAGATAGCATTAAAGGCTGCATTTAAGCTATTACCTTCAATGTTGGCATGAATATTGAAAAGTCCACTATTATGACCCTGTCAGTATTTAATATTAAACCTGTGTTACGGTGTTTAAAGAATGCCCTCTGTTTAGCTCCAGCCCCCATCCTACAAACTTTAATTAGCTCACCTGCTGAAGAAAAGTCACCCCACATCATGATGCATATACTTCCACTTTTCACAGTGACTAATTTTGACTGATGTGAGGTATCACCATTTCCCAAAATTCACTTTTGGTCTTCTCTGACTAATATTTTTGTGGTTCATATATTTTTTAACAGCAGCATGGTGGATTTCTGAAGATCCTTTAAAACAACTGCGAGCCTTTTGGCCCCTTCTCTGCTTAATTTTACCTTAGGTTAACCTGTCAGTCTAAGTGCAGTTTTAACTATACTCTGTAATATTTCCATTTTTAAATATTAGATTAAACATAGCTCCATATTAGTATATTTTTTAATTGTTTTAAAACCTAACCCTCTATTCCTTTAATTTTATCTGAAAAAGAAAAATGTCTTAAGGCCCAGAGTAACTGTGTCAGAATTCCGATGGGCACAACACTTTTTAGATTTTTACTGTACAGCTGAATTAGAAAATAGTTAATTGTTTGCTTTTCACCTTACATTTATGCGTCTGTACTTTGTGTTGGTCTATCACATATGATTCCGACAAAACACACTAAGATTTGTGGTTGCAACCAGATAAAATATAAAAATACTTAATGGAGTTTAAAGACCTTTAAAAGCCATTGTTTATTAATCTCCAAGGTGCCAACATAATTGTTGCAGATAAGAAATCTCCACCTTTTTACACTATGTAGAAAGTCTATGGTGAAGAAGATTAAAATACATTCATTTTTTTTTTTTATTAACAGGGTTTCTATGAAGAAGTGGCCACTCCTCTGCTAACAGATGTGACAATGATATATATAGGTGGAACCAATTTAACCCAGACTAATTTTAGTCAGTTTTATAATGGCTCTGAGATTGTGGTGGCCGGGAAGATCATTGATAACAATATTGAAACCTTCATTCCACAAGTTGTTGCCATTTCAGTAAGGATCAATCCACAAAGCAAATTCAAGTATGATTCCATAAAACTGCTTAAAACTCTTTGGAATATTCATAATTAACTCTGTTGACTGCAGTCTGAAAGAAAAGTGAACTTTTCAAAAACAACTGGCTCAATGGATTCTTCTAATGGAACAGTTTCTGATGGAGTTCTTCAGAGGGTCTGGGCATACCTGACTGTTAAACAACTTCTAGAGAAAGAGTAAGTGGGGCACACTTTCTTTCTTGAGCAATTAATTTTGATATAGTCTGGTGAAATAAAATCAAAGCCATAATTAGTGTTCTTGTATCTTAACATGTTCTGACACTTTGTTGTTGGGGGTGAATTCAAAGTCTTGAAGGTTGGAAAACATCCTTACTATTTGTCTTTCTTTTAATTGAAAAATCCAATCTGGCTCAAAGAAATCCAAAAACATTGTCCAAAATTAGGAGTCAGAAGTTAAAAGAAATCAGGAGGAACCATTTGAAAAAAGTTGTTTTAAATTTTTTTTTTAACCTAAATTAGTCAGAGATATTAAGTACGGTTTTAGCTGATGATGTCACTGTTTGTTCATAAAATTTATATTAATTATATCTTTCCAAAACAGTGAAAAATGGTAAGGGCCTGAAGCTTTGATATTCATTAGTGCAACAAAACATTTATATATTTATAGAATTGCAAGCTAATTATATATAAATTACATGGTATACAATTTTACATATTTTAATTGATCCATTATAAACATTTAAAGAAATATAATTGCACAATATTTTTTATGGCTAGTTGTAAAAACATCAGTTATGCTGTTTGAATTGAAATAAGTTTCCAACTCTAATAAGATATTGTTATACAGGCTGCTTCTTTCTGGATCTGAGAAACAAAAGGTGAAGGATGAAGCATTGCAGCTGTCCCTGAAGTACAGCTTTGTGACTCCACTTACATCCATGGTGGTGACTAAGCCTGAGGGGGAGAACACACAAATCCTTCACAAACCAAAGGAGGGGAAAGCACCACAACTTCACGGTAAACTGCCATTTTTTCAGTCCTTATTAGAGAAGTAGAGCTATTTCTCTCTGTGTTGCCTTTAATAAAATCAGCTATAAATTAAGGTCAAATAGACTTACGCCAGAAAAATTGTGAACATAGAAATTTATTAAATAGTTATATAATGACTAATATCAATCCATAAAATGATGACTGTTTAACAGCTGTCGGGGCACTCAGTCAGACTTTACAATAAGTCATATAATTGGACATGACGTAAATATTATAAACATATCTAACATCTACTATTAGATTGATGATAAACTCCCTATTTTGTTTTGTTTCTAAAATAGTAAGGCTTCAAAAAATGAAACAAAAAACGCTAGCAATTTTCGTTTCTATGTAAAGTATTTTTCATATCATAAAACACTACATTTTATAAGTTTTGGAAATAAGTTTTAAATTATTTTCCAATTAATTTCCTTTGTAATACTCAGATTAGAAACTGTTCCTCTAATAATTCACAACTAGTTACTGTTAATAATTTCTTATGTCTCCTTCTATTCAATAGGTCTTTCTCTACCTCCTGGTCCTCCAGGTAAATATGGCACAGTATTCTTTACGGTCACTGTTCATTTGAAAACTGTGCATTTGAAAATGTAGCTCCAATTACTGGTAATTATCTCTCCCCTTCTTTTTTTTAAGGATTTTCATATGCAGCATCTCCTAGTCATATTGGTAGGTATGGCACAGCAGAGTTTAAAGTGGATAACCAAGCAAAATGCCTTTTACAGATACAAGATTCTCAAATTTTATAATCTGTTTTGATTTACAAGGTTTACATTTTATTTTTTTCTAAAAACATGCATACTAAATAAGCAATTAAAAGAAAATATGTACTTTTTTTTTACTAATTGCTCTTGCAAGATCTTTGGAACAAGACTGTAAACATCTCCAAGAATTGTCTGAGCTATTGGTACAAATGTATACCAAAATTTTGACATTTATGTTTAAAAAATATTTAGAAAATCATGCCTTATTTTAGCTCCTCTCACAAGTTTATGTGATTAAACCTCAAAACTTTCTGTTAAAAAGAAGATAACTATTAAAATATGACATGAAAAGCAACTGTAAAGTTGAATTCACACAAGTTATTATAGTTTAATCAAATGGATATAGCAGATGACTAAAATTACTGAATATATAACTAGAGGGATAGAGCTGCTTTGCTTTAAAACAAAGTTCATATTTTAATACTTCTTATTCTTTGTAATACTGTGATTTGAAAGTATGAATTAAAACATATTTGTAATTTCATAAACCATTAACAAATTAGGTAGTGGAAATTTATAAATTATTTTCCACAGTTCATGTGTAATATTAAAACTACAAACTGTTCATTTGAAAATGTACC